TATTATCTGAAATAATATGACTACTAAATCAATTGTATTGATTGAAGGGAGCAAGAACAAAGATTGGTGCAGAATAATAGATGGATTCATTTTATTTCGTTAGGTTCTCATCAGCTGCTTACAATCTATAATATTTAAAATTCAACATTATTACAAATATTGACATACTTGTACATAAGAGGGTGATTAAAGATGAATAAATGTATCATGGTGTAGCGAAGATTCCGATAGAGTTATTGAGATCATAAAATTTTGTCTCGAATAAATAAAGTTTGAAAGGGAAAGTTCCGGAACATTGAAATAGTGATTAGAACCCATGAAAATGGATTAATGGTAATCAAGAAAATATGGATCGAAATCAGTCAATTATGTATGATGTAATTTAAACTTCAGAAAGAGTTGGAAAGATGACTAAATAAATGAATAAATAAATCTATAGAAATAAATGAATAAAAAGGGGGTTTATTGTTACCAGGGTAAAGAAAGATTTATTACTAACTCTTTTTGTATACACAGGTTTGGTTTTAGACGTTTGATTGCTAATGCTTCAGCAAATTTCAGAAGGTTGGAGCTTAATTGTTTATCAATCACCTTGAAGGACTTCAGTGTATCAACTTCGTGTCCTGTGTCAAGGAGATGTCTTGCGATGGCACTGTAGAATGCTTTCAATCCATTTGATGTTAAAATTTTCGGAATATGTTCTTCGAATCGGACGTAGACTCTCCTTTCTGTTCTACCAATGTAACTGCTTTGGCAGATACATGTGAATTTGTATAGGTTGAATTAATCTTTTGAAGTTGATCAAAATAAGGGAAAATACAATAAATCTAGTAAAGATTAAGAAGAATGAAAACTTTTACTAAAATCGATTATTAAGAAAAAAGGTGCATTCATTACTGTACGACCGAATCAGTTCATTATTTATAACAAAATTTTGAGAATGTATATTTACTACTGAATTAAACAAGTTGAAATGTTTAGAAGGATTAGAACTTGTTATCGAATTTAAATAGGTACTTTATTATCTAAATAATCAACGGGTCAAGAATGGTATATCACAGCGTGATATATCAAACTTATAATTCTTAATAAAATAATGGAAATTAAAAATTTATCCTAAAGGTCTATTTTTGGTATGATTGTTTTCGTTTGCTAATCTTTATTAGGGGGTATACGTTTTGCCACTTTTATGGGCCGAGAAAAATATTTATTGTACACAAGATTCTTCATATAAATCGTTCAAATATAGCAGGTTCTTTTTATGATTAAATCTTTAAAATGGGTGAGTCTCAACATATTCGTGGACTGAAACTGAACTCTGCATCAGGAAAAAATATGTTCTTTATTTGTCCTTAACTTGACGCATAAATATTAGATTTATTCATGAAATTAAATCTTAAAAATTATGTATATATTCAATGATCACTGGAAAGTAACCACCATCTTGTTTGTCTCATCATCAGTGATCAAATCTTGTCAATTAAACTCCATTATCTCCACTGGTCTAAATAGAAAGTACTATGTTCTTATGCTAGATAGTTGGAGGTGATTAGCAGAAAATCCTTGACTTATGTTTTGTATTCCAATCAATGGAGTATAATTAGAATCTTGAGTGGATTGATGTTCTATGTTGGGTTTAAACCCATACCAACAATTTTTTCGATAGGATGTTGTGTTTCTAAAATAGTGTATGAAGTCTTTCTTGAATAAAAGTTGTCATAAAACTGATTAATGACAGTTATCCAAAATATGAGACAATGGATTGATGTTTGCAACAGGAACAATCCAGTAATTCATTAATTTGCAAAATATTAATCCACCATATCAAACCGGACTGTTCATGTTTCGAACATCAATCCATTGTCTCACAATTCGTTGTTCATGCGTTTTCTTACAAATTGCATTGTGTTTCCGCTCTTCCTTTCTTCATCTTCCCCCATCTTCTGCTCCCAGACATTACGTTTTCAACTCGCGTCATATGTTACTTATATCAATATAAGTAGCACACACCACAGTATCATCCTATGCCACAATCGAATAAATCACCGCTGGGATTCTTAAACTTGAATTAATACATTTAACTATACAATAATCGATTGTTGTTGAGATTCAAATGATTGATTGAGTAAATTCTAAACTCAAAATGTTTACAATCCTTATTTTTAACTTTATTGTCAAGTGAAAAGTTATTAACAACTTGATATTGTAAAAATACTCGGGGAAAATTGCTTTACACACACATTGGAATATTATCACTAATAAAGTACAGATAATTCCCATTTAAATATAAAAAAGAGTGGAAACACGAAATTCAGCGAAGGGATCTCTTTTCAACGAATTTATTATCAAACTGTATAATAGTGTATACACAAAAAGAGACAGTAATAAATCTTTCTTTACCCTGGTAACAATAACCCCCCCTCTTATTCATTTATTTCTATTTCTTTCTTTCTTTCTCTCTTTCTTTGTTTGTTTATTTTAGTCATCATTCCAACTCTTTCTGAAGTTTAAATTACATCATACATAAATGACTGGTTTCAATTCATATTTTCTTTATTATCATTAATCTGTTTTCACGGGTTCTAATCACTATTTCAGTGTTCCATGAGGAAATGTGAACACGAATACCCATGATGACGTAATAAAAAGCTTATAATACTAGATTACGTAATGCAATTCATAACAATAGACTTAGTAAATTAGTAGTGAACAAAGTAGCCTATAATTTATCAAGACCAAAAGAATAACCAAATAAAACTTGAAATGGTAATGCATTTAATAATAAGCATATGAAATGTAATATATAGATATTCTACTCTCATATTCAGTCTTTAGTTAAGACTAATCTGTATGTTACCTAAGTTTAATGAGTACCATCATCAGAAATACAAAATATCTAGCTTATTCAGTCCTGTAATGTTTGTTATCATTGTGATTACCTCTAAAATGTGTGTTCTTTTTTGTAACCATTATCTGTTATTCACCTTTAAGTGTAAAAATACTCTAACGGTTCAGCTAATACAACTATCCTCTTAAAATTCATCATTTATTAGATGTACAAAGGGGGAAAATAAGCCAACAACTAGAGGGTTTTCCATTTAAGTTTTACAGTATTTGTAAGCTTCTTATAATAAAGCTTGAGTTAATACAAAATTAGCTTTGAAAATTATTTAATTCAAGCAAATCTGTAACAGGATTATTTACTTACTTACTTACTTACGCCTGTTACTCCTCGTGAAGGAACATAGGCCGCTCACCAGCATTCGCCATCCAACCCTGTCCTGGGCAATCCTTTCTAGCTCCTTCCAGTTCCTATTGATGCTTTTCATATCTGCTTCTATTTTCCGCCTGTAGCTCTTCCAGAGTTACTGCCGGTCCCAAACCCGGGTAAAAGAGGAGGGTTGGGTTAGCGTCCCCATCCCGTACAAAACTAACTCGCTAAAAAACGCTTACCAGAAAAAATAACAGGATTATTTGGATATTTGAAGATTAAATCAAATAAAATGTTTAAATACACTCATTGGTATCCTTATTTATTATAAAGTTACCTAAATAAACTTATCGATATATCTTATAAATAAAGGTTTTCTTGCCTCCTACAAACTACTTATGAGTTAGAAATCGATTCAGTCATTCATTGATCAGAATAATTTCCGTTAAACTACAGTACTAGAGATGGAGTATTATAATTATTTGTTATCAGAATGTGGATTTGTGGAGATTATAGTAAATTTAATAGTTGAATTTATGAATCGATCTAAGCTAGACCACCAAAGTAGGACTAAACGGTCATCTAGTGCTTCCATGTTCTCTATGGTGGTCTAGCTAAGACCAACTCATTAATTCAACTTTTAAAATTATTTTTATTTAATTACCAAAAAATTTTATTTTAATTTTAATCATTAACTTGTCATTCATTCAGTCAATTGAAACTACTGTCATGAACTTTGCTACTGGATGAAATTGACAAAACTCTGTTTAATGCGATTAGTTAATCCATAAAACTGTAATAATACATAAAAAATGTGATTAGTGATTAAGGAGTATTGTCATGTCTCACTTATTTAGTCCAACTTCCGGGATAAATTATAGTACAAAATAAAACTTGTGATTTATTTCATTGATTACGATTTGTAAACTATTTTAGGCAGTTCAATTAATGTAAAACATATGGACAGAATATCTGACAAGGAAACCAGATCATTATCAACAAAGAGACTTTTAACGAATTCAAGAATGCTACATAATGAGAACAGCTAACTCACTTAAGCTGAGATATACTTCTAATTTACACTGACAAAATTACTATTCACTGAGCAAATTAAGTTTCCAAGCTCCATGATCTATAAAGATGTAAGTGAAAATTACAGATGAAACTTAAACTAAAGGTAAATATAGAGTTCCAGCTCTCTATTTTTCCAAAGGATATCTGACTGATTTCCAATCTGTGCTGGAAAATTAATTCCAAATTTAATTTAGTTGGATAGTGTTTAACCCCACTCTCAACTTCATAGGCTTCATGATATGTATTTGTGGAAAGATATTAAGACATTAAAAGTAAATGAATGAGTAATAAACTATGATTTGACGAAATTGTTTCAAGAAAATTTATTTATCTACACACAAATGTCAATCTCATAGGTCGAAATAAAACATACCTTATCAACAGGTACATCAGTTTATTGTATGTCATTTCATTAATAAGCTATCCCAGCTCAGTATTTGAGTATACCTTGACAACAAAACAATATACGACGTTCTATATGTTGCGAACAATTCGAATTCAAAATCAAAGCAAAACAACATCCCGTTTTTCCATTATTATTATTATTTGTAGATGTTTGATAAAACTTTGGATATTTACTTTATGATTTATTAGTCCACCTTACCTACAAATCATTACGAAGTACCAACTTTCTTTTTGTTTCAACTCAATAGCTTCAAAGACGATATCGACTTTTTATTTATCTATTTACTTTCTTCTTTTTTTTCTATTACAGTTTGTCGCTCATCCAAATTGTCAACATCAAATGGAGAATTTATTTTACAGTTTAATGTTTTGCATTCGAGATTTTGAAGGTGTACAAAGATTACAATTTGTGATTATATTCCTCTCATTACTGCCATTTTTGTACATTATCTACCTGTTTTTTCCACATTTTAAGGTTAGTTGAAATAATGTTTTGTAATTCTTTTATCCATCGTTTTGTTTGGATTTGTTAAATCAATATTCAGTCATTACTGAACATAGAAAATAGTACTATACTTGCTTTTCTTGTATCAACTCAATGACATCTTAAATAAAAACTTATATTTCACATATTGAAATCATGAGTCAATTGAAGCTAGACAACCATGGACAACCTGGAAGCACTAGAAGGCCGTTTCGTTCTAGTACGGGACTCCTCATCAGTGCGCATCTACGATCCCGCACCCCGCGAGATTCGAACCCAGGACTTATCAGTCTCTCGCCAAGCGCTTAACCAACTAGACCACTAGGACGAAACGGCCGTCTAGTGCTCCCACGTTTTCCATGATTTTCTAGCTTCAATTGACTCGTGATTTCAATCTGTGAAATTTCTAAAATCTCCACAAACCCCTTCTGATAAAAATTGATATCTAAAGTAGGTTAACAAAAATATCAGTTCGATTAATGTGTTTTACCCAGGATAGATTAGACTGAGACATATTTTACAGTACTATATACTGAAGATGATTCATAACATATCATTTACAAGAGTGAAGTAACTAAACTGATGTTTATTAGACACTAGCCTTTAAATCATACAAAACTGATACTGTTGTCATTCTCGGCTAAATTATGCAAAAATTTACATACTCAAGTATTTTTTGTACACTGATCATTCAGTAAATACTAATGGATAATAAATAAGTAATAGTTATTAGAAAAGGGTTTTGTGGTGATTGTAGTAATTTAATAGTTTAGTTCATGAATCAATTAAAGCTTGAGGTTAAGCGCTATCGCGCGAGATCGAAGGTTCGAATCACAAGAGCGGGATCGTTGATGCACACTGCTGAGGAGTCCCATATTAGGATGAGACGACCGTCCAGTGTTTACAAGTTTTCAGTAGCGATCTAACATTAATATTGATTAAATTGGTTAGAGTAATTGAATAAATCTCAAAATCTATAAGGAAAACTGATTCATTGAGACAATATCCACCAGTAGATTTACTGTTTACTTCAAAGTAAGCTTTATGTTAAATTCACAAACCAGACAGTTTATTTAAGTAAAATACAATGAAACGTAAAGATACATTGGCATAATCAGATGTAACTCCCTCAACAATATGGTAAGATGGAATACGACGTTTAATGTAGAAATAAATTCAATTATCTAAACAATTCTGATACTTATTTATGATAGAAATCATTGGCAAAACATTCAACAAGGTAGTTCTACTCATGTTCTCGATCAACATTTGAATATCACTGAACTGTCTAAATTTGTTCTCGTATACTTCTTTTGGTTAACGGATTGAATATACCAAAAATAAATAGACGAAACTTGTTTTTAGATGATACACTAATGTTTATCACTCTATTCAAGTTTGAAAATATATAAACTGATTTTCTATTCAGTTGCAATGAATCGAATAAATGTCAAACATTTACCTTTAAAATATAATAGTCATAATACATTATAGAGTTGGAGATTATTTAAGGCTCGGTTTAATTTTTGATGGGGTCTTAGGTATACACTCCTTAGGATTCTTATCGTATGAAAAAAAATGTTTATTTCCTCCTGGTTTTAAATATTACACAAACTAATATCAATCAAGTACAAATACTACATATAGATACATTATATTTCCCTAGTTGTTTTGACTCAAAGTTTAAAATCAAATACCTTTAAGCTCATTAAACTATTCTTTTGTTAAATAACATTCTGAAGGGTTATACTACTAGAAAAATCAACAGCTTTGGATTCTTAATACTTATTAAGCGTTATAGTTAATTACGTCTTGAATTGAATCCTTATGTCAATATCACGTTTAAGTGCATCTCTTTAATTACGACATCATTCATACCCAAGTGATAAACCCATTTAAAAGTGGCTTTTGTAAACATCACTTATATTTCCAGTGCTTATAGTAAATGTTATTGACATGAAACGTAATTGTCGAAATAATACGTGACACTTCAGAACTACAAAGTATCCGTTGAGTGATATACAAAGAAACCGGTCTCAAAAATCATGTTTTGTAGAGATTTATAGATTAGCCGATGTTGAAAGTTGATTTGTTTGTGGATTAATAATAAAAACCGGAAAGAAAACAACAGAATTTTTGTATAAGCATGAATCTATGTTTCGGAAGTTTTTTGTAACTATAGATTGAGCGTAGTGGTTAGGTGAAACTCTGACGATATTTCAAGTTGTTTTGATCTTCATAATCGTTTGTTTCTTACGAACACTTGAGAAGTAATTGCAAAACGAAAACCCTTTCATTTTTATTTACAGTATGCACAGAATCGTTATTTCACAATATTTCAACTGGAAATAACCAGATAATAATAACACAATGATCCAAATGTGTACAACGTACAGATTACTTAAAAAGGCCATTACAGACACTTTGTTTTATTTTGGCCGCTTCTCCGCTGATCGGTTTGACTCAAAATGCTCTATTTCCGAACTACTTAACAATACTTAATCCTCTCGATGATGTTGAGTTACATTTCATCATTCAATGCAAAAACAGAAATCAACTATGAAGGTTTGATAGATACTGGATACTAACAATGATTTGTATAACAAATAAACCCACATAGTGCACCATTCACAGTAGTCAAGAAGTCTGTGCGGATCAGTCAGCGCGACACATTGTTTAAGTGTTCAGTTAAATATTCAGGTGTATACAAAATAAGACTACCATACAGACAAGCCAAACTATTTTATATAGTTTAGATTGATATCATGAATGTATCAACGTTAGACCACCACTGAAAACCTGGAAGCACTGGACGGCCGTCTTGTTCTACTATGGGACTCCCCAACAGTGTATATCCACGACAAAACGGTCTTACACTGCTTTAAAGTATTCATTGGTGGTCTAACATTAATGAATCTATGATGTCAATCTAAACTCAACAATCTTCACAACCCTATACTGACTATTTGATATAGTTTAGCAAAAATAACACTTAAAATCTTATATAAACGCTTACAATTTTATTGCTTTATACTGCACAATGTTACTTAGTATTAAACCACTTGAAAAATAAGTAAATTTACAGAATAATATAGTAACCATTATTACACATACAATTCTGTACCTAATGGTATTCTATTTTTCGTTTTGTAGATGCCACTTCCACAAAGTTTAATATATCGTGACCGAAGTGTTACAAAATATGAAGTAAGTAAATTTTCAAACTTTAGTAAATATCACATAACTGAATAAACCACAAGTGTAATGAAAGAATTCATAAACATACAGGAATTTTATTAATTACACTTATATGATGTGGGACAGGTATCATTCATTACATAACCTATTTAATAAATCTGTAGACAATAACATTTATGTTGATAATGGCTAAGTACATTCTTGATGCTTAGCATGTTCATGAATAAGTTTTAACCAAGAATCTAAATTTAGAATTTTAAATTAAACATGTTGTGAAGATGGATTCTGATGTTACTTTGCATTAACTACAGGACCATTGAAAAAAAGGAAAGAAATCATAAAATATTTTGAAAGGAACGAATGATCCTCTTCCAAATATGATTCATTACTGTTAATATATATTACATATTTGTAATATCCCAATACGTAGAAAAATTAGATTTTCTGATGTTTCGTGAGTTAGTGTAAACCACTTCTTCAGAGAGTAAATAAATATTCAGAAAATCTAATTTTTCTACTCATTGGGATAATACAAATAAATAATTTATTTATAACAATCTATCCAATGCTCAATTTATTCGAAATTATCAAGTTAAAACTTCGGTAATGATACCTAAAAAGATTCATTACTGCAATATTTTATCTAATCTTACATTTACTTATATCCTCGCTATACTATACTGTTGAATATCCAAAACAACCTCCAGACAAACTTAAGTTGATGTAAACAGTTTTTATGTAACAAATGATTTAGTAATATTCATATACTAGAGACTAACTGGATATGTGATAAATCTCTCAAAATTTCAATTAGACCTCAATTTTCATGTCATCGAACATAATAAAAATGTAACAGTCACTGATCAGTTAGTTTCATCAAAAGATATAACAACCTATTAATTGATGGACTAGTAGTGGAATCCAGGAAGTGCATTTCATCCTATTTGTGACTGGTCAGCTGGATGTACCTGCATCTCAATGTTCATGTTCACTCTGTGACTCGAACCCAGTATCATTCGCTTCAAACGCCATCGCGTTATTCACTCAGCTACTGAGTCCTGATAGCCACTTGCTTGTGCAATGGGGTGAATTTAAATTCACTTGATATTGTTTTGCTTGTATCTTCCCATTGAGGTTTAAGACTGCAAATGATCAGTCTGTTATTGGCATATGATCAATTGCAGTTTTAAACCTCAATGGGAAGATACAAGCAAAAGAATACCAAGTGAAACTCTTAATTGATTGAATTTAAATTCTTGTTTTAAATTTTATATCAGTGATTTAAAAGTGCTGTGTTATCAACATATAATGTAAATCATAGATTTGACTCTATGAGTAATTATAAGGATTTTGTACCAAAGAGATTTTTAACTAGAATGAAGCATTTAATCATTCTTTAGCTTAAGTTAGTTGATGATCAATTTTATTGTCAAACTATACAACTTTTTATAAAACACTTAATTATTGATGTAATAATCTAACTAGAATATTCTATATTTTTTATAAAATTATCAGATTACACTTCTCCTTTTCAATTATTCTTACAACTAATTTGATTCAATGATGTGAGTAAACTCAACTCAAATTCTAAATGTAACTCAATGGATAGTTTATTCATTAAGATTCGGTTATTTAATTACACAAATGTTAAGTATAAAGTAGTTATATGAATTTTACTATAAATAGTGATTTATTTATTGATTTTTTTATTAATATCAGAAGGGGTTTTGTGGAGATTGTAGTAATTTCAACAATTGAGATCATGAGTCGATTGAAGCTAGACCACCATGAAAAACCTGGAAGCATTCGACGGCCGTTTCGCCCAATTGAGGGACTCCTCAGCAGTGCGCATCCAGGATACCGCCTCGCGAGATTCGAACCCAGGACCTATCAGTCTCGCACCAGGCGCTTAACCAACTAGACCACTGAGCTGGCCGGCATCCAATGGTGTTAGTGTCTAACTTCAATTAATCCACGAAATCGAGCGACACATCCACTATTGTCATCACTGAGTTACTACCTCACAGCTGACCCGGTCGAACTTCACTGGTCAGTGCTTCTCACTAGAACTCCAGGACATATCTCTTGAAGCCAGTCACTAATGAGCATATGTTGATTAGTATGAGAAGGTGGTTTTGTGTAGATTGTAGTAATCTCAATAGTTAAGGTCATGAGTCAGTTACTCAACTGTAAATAGTAAATTTATATTAAAAGCATTCTACCAATGATTATGTAATACGTTACTAAGTTCTACTCAAACAAACAAGAATTTTTCATTGATTCTTTATTTCGTTCTTGTTTTGTTTGCCAAAAAATTCCCATGATATTAAAACATAATCGTATGAACAATTGTGTTTTTTTTTATTATTTATTAATTGATTTTCTATTGAATTGATTTCATTTCACCTGGTACGGTCAAAGTAAAGTTCAATGTTAAATAATAAATAACTATCTATTCTGTTATCAAATTTACTAACTAAAAATAATATTTGTTTTATTAAGGTAACATGTTTACTCTACGAATCAGCGGTCAATTTGAAGTGAATTATCATATCAGTTTATAATATCTATATATCTATATATATATATATATTTGGTAAACTTTTTCCCATAAACTTTATATTAATTATTCGTCTGTTTGTTTACTGTGAATAAATAAACTGATCTTTATTTCTCCTTTAGGGTATAATTGTATACCTTATTATATTACAAAAATAGGAGAACATTAAGTATTTTTAATGTTCATCTTCTTTGTTAATATGTAATAATCACTAACCCTTTAGTTTTCCTTGGAAAAGAAAACAACACGTTCGGCCTAAAAGATAAGAGTTTTTATTTTATAAAGGAACGTAAAAGTTATTTATTTAATAATTCTATTTTAAGATAAAATACAATTTTCTATACTGAATTATATATATATATATATATATATATATATATATATATATATATATATGCGGTGAGACTATAATTCATTGCCAACTTTTGAACGACGCCAGACTGACCTTGAGAGTGTTCACCTAATCACCAGCATTAAATGAAAGTTATAAACTTGTATGAGGAATTAGAATTATGATTTACAATTGATGTTTAATGTTAGAAATTAGATTTAGGGTATTCATCACGAACTAACATCAGCTATAATGCCAAAACTTTATTTATACTAATGAATGAATGAATGAATGAGAGACATGTTATTTTATACGAGATTGATTTGTCCAAAAATTATAGTCTCGTCATATATGTTTATATTCTAAAGTTGTATCACAATAAATCCACCCAAAGATTGAATAATCAATGCACAAATGAAAAGTACTCAATGAAGCATGTAATAATAAGAAAGTATAGTTCATTGGAAAATGTTTTCTTTTTGAATAACTTTATACAACAAACTGTAAATTTGCAAATATGTAAAGTAAATTTGTTAACATAATAACAAACATGTAAAATAAATGTTTATCTCTTTCAATTCTTAAAATAAGCATCAATAATAAAAAGCATAAGAAAATTTAAGCGTGGTTACTATGGTAACTAGACAGTTGTTAATATCACTATAAAACTAAGGTTTGAAAATGATATCATTATTCATAGTCAATTTATTTATATATAACCTACAGAACTTTTATCAAATAAGTTTCTCTCAAATTATTAAGAGAACTCAGCAACGATAAAACATCATCAGAACTGATAACTTAAACATATTAAACTACATATATCCCTTTTTGTAAAATCCAGATAAACAAAATTATAAGGATAATTAACTAATTAACACTGTAGTTCTATAAAATACAGTCGGAATATTTATTTAGCCATAACGTTCACATTTAAGTGACATTTTTCGTCTCTTTTTTTTCAATATATAGACACAGTGATCATATCCTATACTAATGAAGATTAACAATAGATTCACTTGGTATTGTTTTGCTTGTATCTTCCCATTGAGGTTTAAGATTGCAATTGATCATTCTGTTATTGACATATGTGCATATTGTGCATATACCTCGATATTGCCTTAATTCACAAGCTTTTTGTAAGCAATGATGGATAGTGGCTATCAGTGGAATCCAGGACGCGCGTTTCGTCCTATTTGGGACGATAGATATTCTACTGTTAAGTAATATCGGTAATCATAATAATGCATAGTATTCCGCAATTAATATGTCTCTTACTTAATTATTATCTTTAATGGGAGATAACTGAATGAAATAAATGACTTTATTGTATATTTTAGGATAATACATTTATTTCCTATTCTGATCTACATTCAAGAGTTCAACTAGTTCTTATAACAAAATAATAATGTGAAGTGTCAATATCTATCTGTTTAAATTTCATTGCCGGATTTGTTTCAATTTCTCAATTTGTGTTCGCATTTTTTAATGAAAAAAAAAACAAATGTATTATTATCAGAATGGGTTTTGTGGAGATTTTTTTTATATAGAAATTTCACAGGTTGAAATCATGAGTCAGTTGAAGCTAGACAACCATGGAAAACCTGGAAGCACTGTACAGCTGTTTCATCCTATTGTGCGACTCCTCGGCAGTGCAAGTGCACGATCCCACCTCGCGGGATTCGAACCCGGGATCTATCAATCTCGCAGGCGGGCATTTAACCACTAAACCACTGAACTGGCCGGCTTCCAATGGTGTTAATGTCTAACTTCAAACAATCCACGAAGTTGCGCCACCGTACACCATTGTCTTCAGTGAGTTCCAATCCCACAACAGACCTGGTTGAACTCCACTGGTAAAGGCTTCTCACAAGAACTCCAGGAGTATCTCCTGAAGTCAGTCACTAGTGATCAGTTGATTATTATCAGAAAGGGTTTTGTGGAGATTTTAGAAATTTCACAGATTGAAATCATGAGTCAATTGAAGTTAGACCATCACGGAAAACCTGGACACACTGGACGGCCGTTTCGTCCTAGTATGGGACTCCTCAGCAGTGCGCATCCACGATCCTGCACCCCACGAGATTCAGACCCAGGACCTATCAGTCCCGCGCCAGA